TCATGCTCTTTCACGCTTGACAAATTCAGCATTTACCAACCAAATGACTTACACTCACAAAACATACCAGACTGTTAAATTATTTCCCAACAGCTTTCATTATTACACTATAAATCACGAAATTAAATATAGGTGCCTAAGAAATTGGAAAAATGAAGGGATTTTATACTTTTTTTCACTTTTAAAAACCTTCATTTTATGTGTCAATTTCAACTGCAGAATTTCCATATGTCATCATGATATTTTATATTACTTTAAAAAAAAAAAGAAATACAGAGGTAATAAAAAAGACGCTGTCCCACTGTCCAGAGTCCTGGGTAAATATAGTAAATAATAGTACATTATTTTCTAGTTATTACCTAATTTGGCTTTCTCAACTCCATTTTTACTTATGCAGATATGATGACATCTGTTCAGAAAATATTCAGGTGAGTTCCAACTTAGAAATCACGTCCTGTAAACAAGGAGGCTGCTCTGTGAACTCACATAGTCCATCAGCTCGTGGGCGGCGCAGTTGATGGCCAGGTGCAGGTTGGTTCCCAGCTCTAGCCCCAGGCTCGAGCAGACCCCTTGGATAAGAAGCAGTGGCTGCTCTATGGTGTCATAGTTAGTGTTTAGACAGCCAAGATGGGACATCTTGCCAGTGATGGGCTGCTGCAAAGTCAAGAGAGAACGGTCCAAGTCACCACCATGTGATTAGGTTCCTGGAACACTCTGTGACAGACAAGGACTTTAAGTGGACTTGGGTCTCCAAAGATCGACTTCTCCCATTTTTGATGATTTCTGCTTCTAAGCCACCCCACCCGTAACCCTGGTCTGGAAATTTCATTCCCCAACACTTGTCTGCTTTGCTTTCTTCGGTGAGCCTAACTGCTCTACCTGACTGGCTCTGCCCTTGTTCATTGGGCTAACCTGAGCTATCCCTGTAAAAATCATGGGTCTCTAATTTGGTCAGTCCCCCTCTTCCAAGCTGACTTTCTTATGTTCTTGTTTCTTCTAAGTGAGCATCATTGTTAAATTTTGTTTTTTAATTAGTGCTAGCAAGATAACTCAGTGCGAAAGGTACATCCCACCAAGCCTGGCACCCAAGTGCCACATGGTGGCAGGAGGGAACCAACTCCTCTGAGATGTCCTCTGGTCTCCACGAGTGGGAACACTGCCTTGTTCTTTCTCCATCAGTTAGTGATTTTATGGCTATGTAGACTATCCTATGCCACTCTGCTATTTATAGAGACAGGCTCTCTCCCAAGTCTTTCACCTGTAAGGTCAGATTCAGTCCTGTTCTGCAATAAAGGCTACCTTTGTGATCTTAAGATTTCAGCTAATGGAGCCAGGTGTTGGTGGCACATGCCTTTAATCCCAGCACTCAGGAGGCAGAGGCAGTTGGATCTCTGTGAGTTCGAGACCAACCTGGTCTACAAGAGCTAATTCCAAGACATCCTCCAAAGCCACAGAAAAAACCTGTCTCGAAAAAGAACAAAACAAAACAACAACAACAACAAAAAAAAAAAACAAGATTTCAGATAATGGGCACACCTTTAATCCCTGTGCTCCAGAGGCAGAAGCAGAAGGATTTCTGAGTTTGAGGCCACCATAGTCTACAGAGGGAGGTCCAGGACAGCCAGGACTACACAGAGAAACCCTGTGAATTTCAGCAGCTGACAATGGTTCTCCAGGAAACCTACAGCCAGGAAGAGGAAGACTCGAACCCCTGCTCCACATTAGCACTCTTGGAGCAAAGTTACTGTGGCTGAAGTTTTTCTTGTCCCACCAGCTCCTGCAGCCCCTTAAGACCCAAATAAGCACACAGAAACGCTATATTAATTATTAAACTGTTGGTTGATGGCTAAGGCATCTTACTGGCTAGCTCTGTCTTAATTATTAACCCATTTCTATAAATCTACGTATTTCTACATGGCCTCATCTCTTAGGCTCCCCTGTCTTCCTGCCTCTAC